AAAAAAAAAAAAAAAAAAAGCTTTTCTTCCTGACAAATAAATAGAATTGGAATGAATTTGAGCACTTATGTTTTTTAAAAAAGTAAAATGTGGGCTTACTGTAAGAAAAGCATTACATAATTAAGGACTGAAAGCACCAGCCAAATAAGAGACGTTTTCTCAACTCAGAGAAAAGTATTTGTTGACTGAATAAATATATCCTGATGCTATAATCTGTACTGACCACTAGCTGCTACTGCTACTGCCAAGAAGAAAAACCCTGCCTAAAAAGGGAGCGAGAAATGTAAAAACATAGTATCTCTGAAGACGCATGATTTTTATTGCTATAATGGACACTGAAACAGGTGGAGTCTTTCCTCAGGTAATTTCAAGTTGACTACTCTTTGTTTCTTTGCCCAAAAAATGCTATTTTGTAATTCAGAAATATGTAGGTCCTCAACATCAACACACTTTTTCCTCACACAGGTTTGTTGGTTTGGTTTTGGATGCACATCGTATACTATTGCAAAGAATGGCGTTTATAGCCAGAAGTATCAAGACCATTAAATTTGTATCTAGACCAAAAATATCTTTCTATGGACCTCAGTACTCAACTCAGCAGCTCAGAGCAGCTTACTATACAAAACAATGGCTTCTACAGACCATTTTAATACACGATTTCCTACCTTCCATTCAAAATCCAGCTGCTTCATGGCTCGGTAAACTTCAGCCATGATGTCATAGGGTTTGCTCTGACTTCGGATTCCGAGATGCCACTTGGCCTTCTTTACCGCTAAGGACTTGGGCTTGGTGGTGTTCAGCGCATCCAGCGGGCACCGTGCTTTAGGGCTGTCGGCTATAAGAGGCGGCATCCTTTCTGGGTGAGGCTTCAGGCCTGGGGGAATGTGCATGGCGCTGTCATCCATAAAGGAGCCAGTGGGGGGGCTGGAGGCGAGGTAGAACTCACTGGCCTGGTTCATGATCCGCCGGTTGTCAATGATGAGATGGTAAGCCACTGCAAGCTGGTCCTGAGGGTCGCCGCTATATAAACTGTTCATTACTTCTGACTCTGTGCACTCAAATTTTTCACACACTTCTTTCACAGCCTCATCATCAATGACGTTAGCATCATAGGAGGGGTCTTCGGGAAATAAGTAACTGGGCAAATCTTGTTTAAACCATTCATGCTCTCTAGGAATAAATACCACAACACACTAGTGTTAGAACATGCTTTGGTAAGTCCAAATAATTTAGACATGGGGCAAGGCAATATAACAGAATCAGAAAGACCTGCTCTCAGATCACTTACTAGCTTTGTGACCCTGGGTGAGGTAATTAACCCTTACCCTTGAATAACTATGGTTACTCAGACTGGGGTATTTGGCTGACATTTTCTCAAAAATAAACAAAGTGAACCTGTCACTGTGAAGGAGACAACTGGAAGTATTTGATGCCAATGATAAAATTTGAGTTCTCAAGCAAAATTTTAGAATTTTGTGTAATTTGTATCTGTCTCCATGAGCTTGAAAACTTCCCAATACTTAAAGACTTTTCTGATAACTTTGTAGTGATGATAATGAATATGATTTCTGATATTGTATATGAAATGGGTTACCATTTGGAAAAATCCCTCTAACTCAATAACCTAGTTTTTCCTAAATAACCAACGCACGATGTTAAAGAATTATACATGGGCATAAATGCATTCAAAATGCAAAACAGATCAGTGGATTTCAATATAATAAGTACAATAGCTAACTGATATGTTTTCTGGTTTGATAATGCAACTAACATGTTAAGCTTTGGTTTCATTTCAAAGAAAAATACCTACAATTATCAGAAAGCTGTAAAAATGTTCCTCTTTTCCAACCCTTTATATGAGTGAGGTCAGGTTTAGTCCATAGACTTAAACTAACACAACATACTGCAACAGATTGGATGAAGAAGTAGATATAAGAACCTAGCTGCTGTCTTTGATTAAGTCAAACGCTGAGGGTATTTGAAAAATGTAAAATAATACCACTCTCGTCACAACTTTTTTTTGTTTTGGGAAATAAGGTTACTTTTCATAAAAGATGTTATTTACCTTAACATGTATAGGTCTATCATTATTTTTAAGTGAATAATTTTAAAATGTTTCATTTTTTATTTCTAATACGGTAATTATTGATAGACATACCTGCATTTTTAAAAAAAACACAATACCCACTAACTCTTTGGAGACCTCAACTTTAAGAATGTAAAGGGGTACTAAACCAAAAAGTTCAAGAATCAGTCTCCTAAATCTTATTTTCTCACACTCCTTTGCACATGATGTTACTATTGCCACCCTAGAAATATCCCACCCCTTTTCATCTAACATGTACTATTCCTTCAAGATTGTGTAAGCATTACTACATGGGGGAATGGGACACTCCCTAAGCTTAAATTCAGATCAACAGATATTTTGACTGGATACCTTCTATTGACTGATTAACTCATTTATGAGTATTTTAAGGACATTCTATGGCAAAAAGACACCCTCTTTCATCCATAGCAATTATATTCTAGCTGGATGAAGATTAAACAAATAAGCACAAAAATAAACATAGTTACAAATATACAAACATGAAATTCCTGTGATAGAGATTCTGAGTGAAAAAACATAAAGTTAAATGAGGGAATATAATTCAGCTTGGGAGGCAGGTGGTTAGGGAATCCACTCTGAGTAATATTTAAGCAGACACCAGAATGACTAGAAGTCACCTAAGCAAGGAGTTGAGGAACAGATACTCCCAGCAAAAGAAACAATATATGCAAAGACTCTGAGACAAGAAGAGTTTTACCATGTTCAAGGAACTAATCTCAAACCACCATCATGAAAGCATGAGTTATGGGTTGGAGGGTCAAAAGATATCAGAAAGTTCTGACAGTTGTAGGCTATAAAAATGGTTTGGGGATTTGAACCTATGGTTAATGACAATCACTGAAAGCTTTTAAAGAGACAGGAGTGACAAGATATGATCTGCACTCTGTAAATATTGTTCTGCTTGCAATATAGAAAATGAGTTGAAAAGATTTAAAAAAATGATAATGTGGTGATGATGCTAGTGCAAAAGTCCAAGTAAGAAATGTGGTGTGCCAGGCCCTGAGGGAATACAAAGACGAAACCTCTACAGCTTCTAGTAGATCTTTTCATTTTAACAGTCACACTTTTTTATAGTTGTTGATTTCTTCTTAATCTTTCCCCTAAACTGAGATTTCCTTGAAATAAGGACCATGTCTTATTTAACTATACTCCAGTACCCAATACAGAGTAAATGCTCAATAAATACAGAATAAATAAATGATGGATAGACACATGAAGTATGAAGACAAAAATGAATTCATTAATGTGTTTATTTGCTATATTATAATAATAAGCATCTAATAGATGTTTAGTAATAAAAATGACTGATAGTATTAATTTTTCAAAATAAATAACAGAAATAAGGTATTATATTACATGTCTAAATCAGGTATGTTTCATAGTCTGTAAAATAAGATTAATAATAGCTACGTACTAAGAGTCAATGTGATAAAACATGTCAAGTATCTAGCACAATATCTGGTAAGTAATAACTATTCAATAATTAGTAATTCTTTCCCTGTTGAACTGTATTTTATTGAATCAAGGATTCCCAAACAGGCCCTGGCAGGGTAGCTCAGGTAGTCAGAGCGTCATCCCAATATGCCAAGGTTGCGGGTTCCGTCCTCGGTCGGGACACATACAAGAATTAACCAATGACCCTGGCCAGGTGGCTCAGTTGGTTGGAGCACTGTCCTGTACACTGAAAGGTGGCAGGTCTGATTCCAGGTCAGGGTACATACCCAGGTTGTGGGTTCGATTCCTAGTCGGGGTGCTTACAGGAGGCAACTGATCAAGGTTTCTCTCTCACATTCCTCTTCCTTTTTTCTCTCCCCCTTCCTCTCTCTAAAAATCAATAAATTGAAGAAAGAAAAAAAAAGCAGACTTTCAATGTGCTTGTACTTAAAAAAAAGAAAAAGAATTCCCAAATATTAAAAAACGGAATTTGGATAAATAAAAAATGATGAAAACTACGAATCCAAGTTGTTACATCATTTTAAGTACAGAAATGAATGCCGCTATTTTATACCACCTACATCCAAGTAAAATTTTAATTACATGTTTCTCCTGAAGCCTATACATATACAAACATCTTTTTTAAAAATAACAGAATCAATACTCTCCTAAATGTGCTGATACAAGCAAATACAAGTATGTATCTCAGCATATCTAATTTTCTAAGGAAAAGCCAATTAAATGAATGATATAGTCTAAAGAATTGTGAACACAAGAGGTTTATTCCCCCACTAAGTTTATTTCCATAACTAAATCTGGTGCTAATTTACAGTTTTCCATGTTTATGTATAAGGCCTGGAACACTGAGGAAAGGCTGGGGAGGAAAACAGTGCACGAATACAAAAGGGATCAGTCCTTGCTTTCAACCACCTCAGCCATCATTTACATATTCTGAGAGTCAGAGGTCTCTAGTCATTCTGGCTTATGAAGAGAAGGCAAGGGATTCTGGAAAGATGTTAAAAGGATGTGTTTGGAAGCAAATACCTGAAAAAACATTAGGTAAGAACAAAACACCTCTAAGGCACATGACATGATAGGGTAAAAGTAGAAGACAATGAATCATCCTGGCTGATGTGCACTATATAAAGGTCACATTCACAGTAACACCAGCAACTGCACTTCCCAAAGTTTCTCACACAACAAGAAACCCTTCACAGAAAAACCTACCAGCTGCTATTTTGGATTCAAAATCTTAGCAAAATTTTTATTCTTTATTTCATCAACCACATGTAAAATACATAAGTCTCACCCTGTTTTTCTATTAGAAATTTATTCAAATACTATCTGAGCATACACTATATCCTAGGCCTTCCAGCACTGCTGAGGAAGACACTCTCTCTACCCTTATTTAGTTAGAATATAAGAGAGAGAAAGACACACTGAAAAAGAGCTACATACAAAATGAAAATGGAACAAAATGTGAAATCACAGACGTGGGAGCAACTGACATTGCCTAGGGAAATCAGAAGTGATTTCAAGGGAAGTGATATGTGAACAGAATTTTAAAGGATGAACAGAAATCTATCAGGTCAAAAAGGCAGAAAAGGCATCAGAGGCGAAAGGAATCATATACAAAGACAAGAAGGCATAAAATATGTCTGCAGAACAAGGAAAAGTTCAATGTGGCTGAAGCACCATACAGGGGGTGTAGTAATGAGTGGAGGAAATGAGACTTCAGAAGAAGTGAGTAGAGCTTCACTATGAAGGGACTTGTATGCTTTGCTTCCTAAGCTAAACAGTGTGGGAAACAATCTGAAATATTTAAAAGATGAGTGACAGGATCAGGTTTGTTTATTAAAGGAAGTAAAATGTGTATAAAGTGTTACACAGCCCAGCATAAAGAAAGCATTCAATTAGTGATACTAGTATTATTAATACTAGAAACCAACATAACAGTAACAAAAAAAGATTCACCTTATGTCTTTGATAGTTGCTCGTTTCAGGGGGTCAACCTGCAACATATGCATCAAGAGAGTGGCGATAGAACGATTAAGATATTCTGGGATATAAAAAACACCCCCTCGGATCTTCTTAAATAACGTAGGTACATGCTCATCATCAAATGGGAGGGTGCCACAGAGAAGAGCATACAAAATAACACCGCAGCTCCAGATGTCAACTTCAGGCCCTGCATACAATCTAAGAGAAAAGATGACAACACAAACCTAAAATGCAAGTGTCACTTTGTCGCCTACAAGTACCCTGTTTCTATATACACACAGTATGGGCTTGGTACATATTGCTTTCAAGGTCTTTAATGAAGTCCATGACCACTCCCAAACACTCAATGGTTGTTTCCCATGGGGTATAATAAATTGGTCTAACCAATTATTATTCAAGTTTTCCAAGAGAATATAGTATTTTAATTTTTTTGGCACAAACTCATTTCACTGAACTTATTGACTAATTAAAAAATATAAAACTTTCTATGGTTGATTTCTGGTAGAAACATCAAAGTAGATGACCATAAACTTGAAAAAAACACAAACCAATACTATATAGTGGATAGGCTAAATCTTTTTACCATGAAACGATTATAAGAAAGAAAATGTATATGTAATAGAATTTCATTCCTGGTACACCCATTTTTAAAAAATATTTGAGCCTGGCTGTGCGTGGTTCAGCAGTTGAGCGTCGACCTGGGATCCAGGCGATCGGGGTTCGGTTCCCGGTCAGGGCACATGCCCAGTTGTGGGTTTGATCAATGACTCTCATCATTGATGTTTCTATCTCTCTCTCCCTCTCCTTTCCTCTCTCTGAAATCAATAAAGATATATTGAAATATATATATATATATAGATATATTTGAAACAGTAAAGTACCTAACTAGTTCTGTGGTAACATCTTGGACACTATTTCTCCTGCATCACATTATCCTGAGCACCTAATTACTTTCTTTCTAATCACTTGCTTGCTCACAGGACTAAGATTAGCTTTGCTCCAGAAAAACTGTGCCTAGAAGGTTTTTTCTCTCACCTGTACACAGTATTGAAACTCCCCTGATAGCACATTACCAAACTCAAACCTGGGTCTGAGGTAACAAAGTAAATCTCTACAATTCCAATTAAAAGAATATAATCCATTTCAATAAAAATTGCTGTCCATCATTTACACTGTTGGCTATATTGTCCAAACTCCTATACCTACTACCTGTGATAATACCTTTTCTATCTTTTCTCTAATAGACTGCTGTTAACTTTTACAATCAGACACTGGTCCCTGTAGAAGACTGGGTTTATACAAAAATGTTTGTATAAACATTTTTAAAATGTACCAATGAGAAAAGTACATAATTACAAAATCTCCACTTGTGCAGCTGAAGTCATGAAATGACATATTGTTTCCCCAAATACCTCATTCTTCCAAAACAAAATATAAAATACTCTATATACTTTATAAAATATGTAAAATATCAGTAAAGGATCATGTCTATTAAGTAAATAATGACACTAGCTTCAACTTAGCAAATGCCTACTCTATCTGCACTTTTCTAAAATAAAATAAAAAATTAACATTTATTTCAGTCATTTTAATGGAAAACCTTCTTAAATACATTTATAACAAAATTAAATGTTTAAAATATTGTTTAATATAACTATTCCCTTTAAAAATGAAAAACTTAAAGGGATAATTTGTTTCTATTGTGTTAAAAATCTTATCTTGTAAAGAGAATGTATAATTGTTATCAGAATGAACAGAAGATTACAAAAAGCTTACTCTCTGCAGATATATTATTACCTGCCTGAGATTACTTCAGGTGCTGCATAATTTGGAGATCCACAACTAGTTCGCAGAAATTCGCCATCTGACATCATATTAGATAATCCTGAAAATAAAAGTAATGTTTACCTGGTGCTAGACATTTCTAAAAGTAGATATAGATAAATGCATGAGAAAAATATCAAGTCTTTAATGCTCATATTTTTTAATTATTAAAAAAAGGAGTGGAAAGCACTTGCTAGACTAAAAAGAGACCATTTCAGAGCGCTGTTACACTATGCCAAAAATGCTAAAACACATCACAAGCTAAAACAGTGTAACTGGAATCAAATTCCTTTTCTAAATAAAAATGTTGGTTCACTTCACAAGTATGAGGTTATTCTAAACTATATGAGCTTTCCCAAACATAAAAGTATCAAAATATTATTTATTCACTTCTAAAGTTGAAAGAATAAAACAGAGACTGTTTCTTTTTTATGCTATGCTTTCAAAAGCCTTTTTTAAAAAAAGCTCTAAGTAGAAACCAGACGCTCCAATTTATAAAGATTTATGTTCTAAAAGTTTTTAATTTAGAAAGCTTTAATTTAACAGAAAAAAATAATCTATTGAAATCAGTCGAACTATAGTTTAAAAATGAATTCTGTGACTTAGAGAAGGAAGAGATATAGGGAAGCTAGTTTCCAGGTTTTCAGATTAAAGACAAGGTATTGACAAAACTGTTATGCAAGCAAGGCTGAACTCTGGCATGCTCCATCTCTCTCTCTACACTCACTCACTTCTAACACTCTTCCCAAAACACCCTATTGCAGCACCCTTTCCAGGAATGTTTACCCCAGAAAGTGTTGGGTACATAAAAATTACATTTTAGCTTTTCTTTCACCCCTGACAAAACTCATATTGTTTTATCAAGTGGTGGATGTTACCCTGGGATCCACTGGTACCCCCCCCCCCATCATTGAATCACAGGACTATAAATCTCCAAATAACAATTCTGGAGTTACATACCAAAATCAGCTATCTTGGCATTCATGTGCACATTTCTATGTACCTCTGGTGAGGTACATTCATCAAAGAAAGTGGCCTATTTTCAAAGGAGTTTGTGACCCCACATAAAACCAGTTAAGTTTCATTTCCTTAGGAAGAAACACAGATTGAATGGGTTTACTCTGATGCCTAGCCCTCTAACTTCGCTAGAAGTATCTGCTGCGTTTTTTATTTCTATTTATTGACTTTATTGGGGTGACACCGGTTAATAAAATCATATAGGATTCAGGTGTGCCATGCTGTAACACATCGTCTGCATATCGTATTGTGTGTTCACCACCCCACGTCAAGTTTCCTTCCGTCACCATCTATGCCCCCATACCCTCTTCCACCTGCCCCCATGCCCCTTTCCTTCTGGTCATCACCATACTATTGTCTGTGTCTAATGCGCTACTGTGGAGGCTGTGCAACTAGCACCTTTTCATGGCACAGGATTTACAATTTTGAAATTAAAAGTTCTTAGCTCTTTAAGAATTGTTACTGACATTGCTGAACAACCCTGGAGTTACATACCAAAATCAGCTATCTTGGCATTCATGTGCGCATCCAACAGGACATTCTCTGGTTTCAGATCTCGGTGCACAACCATATGCCTATGACAGTAATCCACAGCCGACAAGATCTGCTGAAAGAGCCGCCTGGCTTCCATCTCTTCAACCTATCAATGTAAAAGAAGCTGCACTAAAAATATTTGGGACATCTACATAGCAAGTGTTTGTTTCATAATCAGCCTAAATATAACTGAGTAATGTAAGCTCATTAGATTGCGTTAGAATATTCACCAATCAGACAAAGAAAACAAAAACTTGCATTAAAGATCAACATGTCAATCAACAGGTTTTTCTTTGCTACTAGGCAGTAATATTTAATTTTCAACAAATATTACTAAATGTGCACAAGTTTGGGGGAATCAGCAAGTAAAACATCACCTAAAATAGAGCTTATGTGAAAGTGCTAAGAAAAGAAAATAACTGAAGCTTCAACATGATGTGTGGAACAGATTTTCATTTTGAAAAGCATAGGCATTGCCCGGCGCCGGGCGTGGCTCAGCAATTGAGCATTGACCTAGGATCCCGGCAATCGGGGTTCGATTCCCGGTCAGGGCACATGCCCGGGTTGTGGGCTCGATAATGATTCTCTCATCATTGATGTTTCTCTCTCTCTCCCTCTCCATTCCTCTCTGAAATCAATAAAGATATATTTAAAAAAAAAAAAGAAAAACATAGGTATCATGTTGGCAATTAAGTGGAACTTATTTCCTAAAATCCATAGTTCAAAAGGTGTACTTTTTAAGAAAGAAAATACATCTAATAGTCTGTATGTTTAATTGGGCATTATTACAGAAGCAACCCCAACTTTTAAAATATCTTTGTGGTTTGCCATTTCCCACTACTTCCCTCTTTTTTAGCTCAGGAATTTATTGTACTGGATAGTGGTGGTACTCACCCGTCCATGTTTACAGATGTAGTCAAATAATTCACCACCAGACACATATTCCATTACCATAAAAAAATCTGTTGGCGTGCTGATCACCTGGTAACTTTTTGTAAATAAAAAAAAGTTAATGAAAAATGTTACTTTAACCAAAATCAACCTGTTCATCTATTTTTGCTACAATTTTATATTCCAGTGTTTTATGACATTTTAAGATGGCAACAAATTTATGATGTTATCAAAATAATCAGAGAGCTATAAACATGGAGCTTAACAAAATTCAACTAACTTTTCGAGGCCTATGGACTTTCCTCCAGTCCCTCTCTTCCATGTTTATAAAAGCTTTAAAAACCTTTAACAACTGAGTTAAGTATTAATTTTTCTCCTTAAACAAAAACCTGTTTACGGTCTATGCAGATGAGGTATCATATATTTAAACATAAGTAAAAAGTATTCTTGGAAAGGTTAAATAATACCACAGGGATACAATCAACAAAATCCAGAAAGTGGACAAATGACCCTTTAATTCAACAAATAAATCACTCACACACACACACACACACACACACACACACA